CTCTGGTTGGGGCGTGGATGGGAGCCCCGGTTGGGCCATATATGGGTTGATCAATGTTTCTCTCTCTACCTTCCTCTCTCTCTAAAATTAATAAAAGCATATCCTCAGGTGAGGATTTAACAAAAAAGTAAGTTCAGATCTGAGAGGACAAATGACTGACATGGATGTGTATACCACGGACATGAGCCCACCAATGCCAACAACCAACTGGGAGCTCCATCTTTAGGACTGATCAATAGTTTACATTAAATCAACTGATTTGGTATTCTTGCTGCATGATTACATCTTAATCAGCTAACCTCATGAACTGAATCCCCAAAGCATGTTATACACATAGTACAAAGATCTCTGAGGTACATTTCTTCTAGTATTAACAATTGACAAAGTTAGGCTAAAGATGCTATGGCCTTACCGTCATATGTTCAGTGTCTTAAGCAGCCCTACCCTTATCACAGAACATACTGATAGCTCTAGTCCAGGGAACCGCAATAAGCTCTGATGTGCCAGATCCTGGAGTCAGTTGGAAAAAACTGACCAACTCTACAGGCAACCATTACCCAGAGCTAAACTTGAGAGAACCTTGCAAACTCAAGTCAGTGTCACCAGCCAGTGGAGTTAAGAGGACCTAAGAACTGTTTGTAAAGGTAACAGGAAAGCAGTTATGACTACTGGAGTGATGAGTGCCTATAGGACTGAAAATTAAAAACATTCTTTAGAATTAACATTTCTATGTTAGCTTACCTGCACCTATAGAAAAACCTTCAATCATTGATGTAATTGTTCTCCTTCTCTTTCTCATAAGTAACCCTTGCCTTCTCTACCTAGTCTCCTAATCAGAACACATTTTGGGTTTCTGACTGAATCAGTGCTTCCCAAATAGCTATTCTTTTGATATCAAGTAAATGCTGTTGCCTCTCACTTTGGCCTTTTATTTGTAGGTTAACAAATCTAAGGGCACAGGATCAGTGGTTATAAACTACCAAGACATATGCTCAGGAGAGCTTAGGGCCTCTACTAGGTTAGATAGTGTCTCCCCCAAATTCATGTCCACTTGGAACCTCAGAGTGTGACCTTATTTGGAAATGGATTATTTTGGGGTATAATTACCCCAAAGTTAAGATGAGGTCATACTGGATTAGGGTGGGCCCTAAATCCAATAACTGGGGTCTCCATAAGAAGGCCACATGAAAAATACATATGATGGGAAGCAGGCTATGTGTCTGCAAAGGCAGAGGTTGGAATGGTGCAGCTATGAGCCACGGGGCATCGATGGATGGCAACCAACAGAAGCTAGGAGACAAGTGGGGATTCTCCCTCAAGTCTTTAGAGGGAGCATGGCTCTCCTGACACGTTCATTTCAGACTTTTAGCCTCCAGAACCATGAGAGAACAAATTTCTGTTGTGTTAAGCCACTCAGTTTGTGGTTACCAGAAAATTAATTCAGAGCCTGAGAGTTGTTTTCAGGGAATATGTAAGAAGCTCTGGATAACACCTTAATTATGAAAATGCTCCTACAGAAAAAAAGGAGTACTGTTTGTTAAAATACAAAATTCAACTGAGTAAATTTGAAGATCTAATTAGCTTTATTAAGTGATTCATGAATTGAGGGAACATCCCATCTAGGAACTAAAAGAGAATTCTGAGGTGCTGTACAAGATGGGAGGTTTTTTATAGGAAGCAAGGTGGGGCAAAGGAATGATTAAGAAAGGGAAAGAAAGGTTAATTTTTGGACAGCACATCTTTTTGTGGGGAAGAGAGTGGCAACAGTTTTTATCGTGCAGACTGCCTGTTCTTTCCATAAGGGAACAGAGAGACCTTATGACCACATTCAGAATAGTCAGAATAGTCTGACTGATTGATTAAAATTACATTTCTGGGAGTGTTGACGGGAGAGACTTGGTTCTTCTTGCTGACGCATGTAAAGAATTACATATCAGCAAATCATCCTTCAGAAGAAAACAGAAGTCCAGAGCTTGGCTAAGCAGGCTTCTCAAGGTTCCCAGCACCATCAGGTGTGTTGCTGAGATTTCTAGTTAAGCCAAACAGATGAGTTCTTCTCATGGCCACTAGCAAGAGTCCTTTCTCCTATTTCCTTCCCACATGGTCTTCACATTTTCCCCCCATGGCATGGAGTGAACCATCTCTGAGCTCTCATGCACGTGTGCTGTAACCAGGGGAGCTGCCTGCATGGCTTCTACATCTTGCTTTCCCGCTTCCCAAAACCATGTGGTCAAAAGACTCTAGCATGGCTGCTGAACCTGGGTCCCAACACAGGCAGGAATCCTCCCCCACAAGCCCATCTCCAGCTGTGCTGCAAGCTGGGGAGCTGCTTGCCCAGCTCTGTCCTGAGTTAAACTTATGCAAACTTTCCTGGTTAGCCTTGTTGGTATGCAAAATAACCATTATTGCATATGAAGAATGAAGCTATCCTCCTGTTGACATGCACAACTCTCAATGGCCCTGCTACATGTCTCCCATCCCCTACAGCAGCCTGCCTGGGTGGATGGTGAGAATATCCTATATTTTTCTTGGACACCCCAAGTTCCAGACCCCACTACAAATCCCCCTTGAGGGGACCTAGCTGCACCCTGTTACAGGAGAGTTGAAATAGGAGTTATGTCAAGTATTAAATCAAGGTTTGGCATTGCAGGCTTTTAGCATGAATGACACCATTTGGTGCCTGTGGTTTTCTTGCTTTTTTCAGGGGGTGGGGTGTAACATATTGGGGTTCAAATATTTTGAAGTATCTTTAAAAAATAAATAGATAGTAAAACCTGCGCATGTGAGCTAAGGAGTGTGATCTTAAACCAATCAGTCTGGGATTTCTTGATCAACACTAGTGAGGTAACCTGCCTGATGAGACCCCTGTCATCTTTCCTCCAAAGGCAGGTGATATTGCCTAAGTAATCTTTTTTTTTTTTTCCACTTCTGCTAATAATTTTCTTGCCTCACTCAGTTTTCTAGAAAAACCTTTCGTTTTGTAGAGGCCCTTGGAGCACCTCTCTTACTATTTCTTAGATGGGTTGCTGCCTGATTTATGAATCTTTCACAAAAGCCAATTAGATCTTCAAATTTACTTGGTTGAATTTTTTAACGGCTGTTATTAGGAACAGTAATTATCAGGACTTTTCTAGAGGGCAATCCAGCAAGAATTTGAAGAAACCTTCAAAATATGCACACCCGATGGCTCAGCGATTTCTATCCCTTCAACTTTTCTTTATAATTAAGGTGGCACTTAACTTGGCAATTATTGAGACATTAGCATTATGTAGTGAAGACTGGATTTCCCAAACTTGCTTGATGGGAATGAATCACTGATGAGTGAAATGCCTGTAGGTTTCTGCACATGTCTGAGAAATGCCACTGGGTATTATTTCTCAGCCCAGAGTGCACACTAGACTCACTTGGGGAGGGGTTTTGGTTTTTATTCTCTAAGACCTGAGTCATCATCTTTGGGAGTGGGACCAGGCACCAGGACACCCCAGGGCCTTCAACATGCAGCAAAGACGCAGAAATCAGTGTCCTAGGGCAGGCACAGTAAAAAGTTACACACCAATTTTGTAAATGAATATTTATTGAAAACATTTCCCCAAAATCTTGTTAAAATGATTGTCATGAGCATATGTTCATGATACTGTTCTTCTTATAAGTCTGCTTTTGGTCTCCACTTGGATCATCTGACCCAGGTCTTAAGAACCAAATGCAGAGAGCCAGCTGAACTACCACTAGTACTATAGGTGACACTGGCACTGAGAATTAACAGGGAGCCAACACAGGTGACTTTGCTATTCATTTTGATCGTATTAACGCAGATTCACTCAGCTTTTATTAATGTAGATTTGATCCAAATCTATACTAACCTGCTAACAATATTAGTTACTCAGAAACAATCAGTAATAACATCACATAAGAGAATTGGGGGATAACAAACCCAAGTCCCAGAGTCTGTGGATCTGGGAGACAGTATGGTGAGCAAGGGAGCCATCACCATCTTGCAAGGAAGGCTCTCTAGAGGCAGGTGGGCAGCAGGACAAATGAAGTCCTCAGTCCAGCAGGGCAGAGCCTCCTGCAGCTGATACCAAGGGAGAGCAGCGTGGCATGGAGCAGCACTCTGGTGTGTGGAGCTCAGCTGTCTTGGGAATGGTCTGAAGCCTGCCTCAGTTCTACCCTTGAGAGAGGTGTACTCTACCCTTCTGGATCTCTTGATATGTCTTTGCACCCCTGATAGCAAGTGGGGCATGTCCCTGGAAGCTTATCAGTGGGGGGGGCCCACCCTGAAGACCCAGTTCTTCTAACCACGTGTGCAGTTATCTTGGGTGTGTTTCCTTGACAGATGTGTCCAGCATGACTTAGGTAGTTTTCCCTTTTTAACCAAAGTGTCACGGCTGACTCCGTTTTGTTTTATATAATCTATGCGATCTTGACTAGACCGCTGTCGTTTTATTGGTCCTGCTCTCCACAACGATCAGGTACAAAAGCTCTCATGCGGTATGATTCCATTTCTGCAGAAAAAGGAGCGTAAGACTGGAAAGCAACTTTGGTTAAGTAACATGTTATGTCTTTAGTTATTTGCAGTTGAACTCTCTCCCCCCCTCCCCCAAGTGAAGAGCCACGTGTGTTATATTAATTAAGCTACTTAAAATCTAAGATGCACTTCGCCAAACATGAACGCACACCATATTTCCAGGGGCTACCCTGAGAGCGCGTTCACGGAGATGCTGACCTCGCCCAAATCCGGAGACCAAACTGCCGGATCTCCGTAGCTTGAGGCCGACCCGCGCAGGCCTCATCCCATTTCCGGTCTCTTTACCCAGCCCACCTTGAAGCTCCGGATCCTCTCGTTGTCCTTGCTCCACCGGCCTCCCTTTTGCTCAGTACTGCCCCTCTTCTTTGCGGTTGTCTGGCTGTGCGGCTGAAACTTCTTTAGTTTGCGACTCTGTCGTGTAACGCTACACTTTACGGTCGCGGGTACGGACCAAGCCGGCGCCAAGGCCACACCCTCCGGGAACGAGTTCGGGAGAGTGACGTTGAAGCTCGGCGGTGCGGCTAGCGTGGCGTCTGGCCGGCTTTTCCCCAACGCGGAGCAAAGACGGGTCCCGGGAGCTGCGGGGTCGGCGTCCAGGGACGGCTCAGGGAGCTTCTGCAGCGGCGGTGGAAGCGCAGCAGGCGGCTCCGGGACTGGGAGTGGAGCCCCGGTGGGCTTCCCGGGCAGGATGAGCTTGACCCCAAAGGAGCTGTCGAGCCTGCTGAGCATCATCTCTGAGGAGGCGGGCGGCGGCAGCACCTTCGAGGGACTGTCCACCGCCTTCCACCACTACTTCAGTAAGGCCGACCACTTCCGCCTGGGCTCCGTGCTGGTCATGCTGTTGCAGCAGCCGGACCTGCTGCCCAGCGCGGCTCAGCGGCTCACGGCACTCTACCTGCTCTGGGAGATGTACCGCACCGAGCCGCTCGCCGCCAACCCCTTCGCTGCCAGCTTCGCGCACCTGCTCAACCCCGCGCCGCCCGCCCGCGGCGGCCAGGAGCCCGACCGGCCGCCGCTCTCAGGTGCGTCCCGCAGGCGTCTGAAGCCCAGGGTACGTTGTGGATAGTTAGGTTCGTCCGCTTTCCACCTGCAAGTGAAATGAAATCTTTTAAAACGATTTCCTCCGCCTCCAGCTCTGAAGTGTGGAGAAATGGTAGTTTAATTTCAAATTCATGGCACCGAAAATAATCCTCTCAGTAGTACAGGCCTTTAAGTCATGCAGCGCAAACGTGGAGCTAGACATTTTTAATACCTTAAATACAGTTCGTTTTTGTAAAACCCCTCCTAGGAGTGTGACATTGTAACTAATGACACGCTGCATCTCCTGGTTTTAAGTCTCAGACGAGTAAATAGAGGCCATTATTCGGAACCCGAAGTTGTTAGGCGGAAACACATAAAACAGCATTTACAAATTTTGCAGTCACCTTCGCTGGGCTTTTAGGTGGCCTTGGATAATTTGATGGAAGCAGAGGATAGAAGGTAGTTTCAAATTCACGGCCTAGGTCAGAAAACGCATGATTAATGAACATTGCGTAAAATGTGTGTGCAACATATATGAGATCGGATCAGTGGGTCGATGCGAGGCTGCCTTTTTGTTTTTCCTTCTTTTAAAACTCGAGATGCTTAATGAGACTCACAGGAGAGGAGCAAGGCACAGTGGGGATTGTGAGGGTTCCTGGAAGACTTAGACAAGGACCAGTGTAGTGGGGGCGGGGCGGGGGGTAGCAGATAGTTGGAGGTGGGAAACGGCTTGATCTTACAGTATTTAACGCATGGGAAAAAGGGCAAATCACTCCCTAGGTAGGGGCCACTTATACGGGGAGTCAAAAGGTTAAACCGCGGAGGTTTTCATGGCACAGCAAGGCTTCTAAATTTTAAGCTAGCCTGTGATTCTGCTTGGAAACCCTCTGTATCTAGAGCATCTCCTGGTTTGTTGTTTCCTTTGCTGCCCTTGTCTAGGAGGGGAACGTTTGTGGTGGTTGAGATGCCCTAGGGTTTCAGGAAGTTTGAAAGTGCCGGGAAAATGAATGTAACCTGCGTATGCGTGGCCAAAGCCCACCACCGTAAGATGCCCTTAGCAGAGGATGGGGACAAGGTGGGATTTAGGTCACATGGCCCTTTGAATTCTTTAGACAGGTTAGACAAAGGAACTGTGATTTATATGATGTTATTTTCAAATGCTATGATCCAGGTGGTAGACGGCATTGTAAACTCAAATTTGTCAGGGAAGAAATCCATGGATTGGTTATTTTCTCTCTGTGCTTTAGATTTTTCATCTGGAAAAATGCAGTAATTTCTAGGTGGTAGACATGAGGAATAAATGTTACCCATTGTCATCATTACCTTCATTAAATTAGGTAGGGATGGTGCTGAATATACAACATATGGAATATTGGTGCCAAGACTCAGGATATTGTATGCATAGGGTACATCTAATGGGTATGTATGTTGAAGTTTTTCACATGATTTTGATGCAGAGTCAGGGTTGAGAATGTATCTGGAAGTAAATAAGAAGGCTTCCTTGTACTCCTTAAGCTTGCAGTCTGGTTAGGAAGATGTAAAAAACATAGTCACAACACAGTGTGTGGTAAGGGCTGTGCTACGTGTCACATACAAAATGCTTGATAGCATAGAGGAACAACTACCTGAGTGTAAATGAAGAGATTCTCAAAAGGAGTGATGTTTTTGCTGGATATTGATTGGAGATGGGTGGTGGGGGGAAAAGGTATGGCTCTGCCAGGTTTTAAAGAACTGGGTGTATTAGATGTTTTGAAATCTGGAATTGGAGAAGCAAAGAGAATTTGCAGATGGAGTGTAGGGTACATGGATTAGAGAGGAATTCAAGACATGAGTTTAGGAAAGTGGGTCAGGATCAGATTATAAAGGGTTTTATAATGGTGCAGAAGTTTGGGTTTATTTCTGTGTAAACAGTTAAGTAATAGTAGCAGATTTGTATCTAGAAATGTAACTAAATGGTAAGTGGGAGTGTGGACTGTGGGTGGTGGTAGAGGCAGAAGTCAAAACTGGGAGCTGCAGAAACCAGGAAGGCTGTCCTGAATGTGGTTCAGGCAAGAGAAGGGGACATGGAATGGTGATGTGGGAATGGCATCTGGCAACATTGCTTTGGTAGGATAGACAAGGCTTGGTGAGCAATTGAATATGGGACAAAAAGGAAGCAACATTTAGCACTGGGAATTTTGCAGCTGCATTATGTATTGTGAAGCAGGTATGTGAAGTGTATTGCTGATGAGTGTTTCTTTGTCTCTTCAACCTTTACACAGTTGCTGGTAGCAGCAGAGAAGAAAACAATTTTTGAATGTTGCAATTTTTAAATTTGTTTTTGCTTTCAGGAATTGAGGCATGTTCAAAGCAAAGTTCTTAATAATAATAAAAATCTTAAGTTTTGTTGATACTACCACAAATCATAGAATTTCAAATGACATTTAATTAAATTTTAATAAATATATATATTTGGGTAACTGAAACTTAAAATAATTTTGTTTTCAAAATGTGTAAGTTGAGATGGCAAGTAGCAAATGCTAATTTTACCAGATTTGTATTAATTTTTAAAAATAACCACTGGAGAAATCATTATACATCTTTGTTTGCAGGATTTTTACCTCCTATAACTCCACCAGAAAAATTTTTTCTTTCCCAACTAATGCTGGCACCCCCAAGGGAACTCTTTAAAAAGACACCGCGACAGATTGCTTTGATGGATGTTGGAAACATGGGCCAGTCTGTGGACATTAGTGGGCTTCAACTAGCCTTGGCTGGTAAGGAGGAATTGGTGGTTTGGGCATTCTTGTGTAGTAGTATTAAGCCTTCTTTCTTAAGGTACTCCACTTAAAATGAAGGTTTGTGGTTGCGCCAAAGGTTAATATTTTCCATGAGAAACAGAGGTTCAGTTTTATTTGAGTTTTCACTTGAATGGATTGCTTTTCCAATTTAAGAAGAATGCTGGATAAAATTTAGTCTGTTAAAAAACTTAAAAAAATTTTCATCATGTCAGTTCTACTTATATTCAGTGCAATTCCTATCAAAATCCCAACAGTATGTTTTGTAGAAATGGAAAAACGCATCGTAAAATTCATATGGAATCTCAAGGGATGCTGAATAGCCAAACAATGTTCTCTTGGCACCATTGTTGAAAATCATTTGAGCATATATGGGAGTGTTTATTTCTGGCATCTCTGTTTTGTATCACAGTTTATACGTCTGTATTTATTCTATTACCACACTTTTGATTATGGTAGCTTTGTAGTAAGTTTTGAGATAAGTGTAAGACCTCCACTTTGTTCTTCTGTTTCAAGATTGTTTTGGCACTTTGTGTTACATATGAATGGGTGCTCTTGAAACAGAAGCTTGTTCTGATAGAAAATAGGGGGACCTTCTTGAACTGCGTAGTGAGAGAACTTCTCTGATGAGTGAAGAAGAGGCACCTTTTTGCTTGCTTGCTCTGAGCAAAAATACAGATGTTCAGGTCTTACCACTTGAGAATGATTCATTAGGGGAATTCCAGTATATAGCCAGATTTGTGACCTTTGACCTTGTGATTAAATGAGCAATATTAATTTTGACTGCCCCACACTTAGACTAAACACACCTGTGATATTTCTCTGCTTATAAAAGGTGACATCTTTCAGTAAACTACTTTTTCCTTGCACCATTCTGAATCTCACTTTTTAACTACTGGATATTAATAATATAACAATGGTTATTTTTTTGAAAGCAAGGGAAATTGTTTTAAGACTTCTAAAATTAAAGGTACACAGAAGTACTTATTAGTCACTGGTGCCACATATGATCTGATTAACAGAAATAAAATGATAATTTCCATAACCAAAGATAGTATGAAAATGGGGTACAGAAGTGATAGACAATTTCAATCACCTGAACTTTTAGAAGCGGTATGTATTTTGAGGGTTCTAACTTTGTATTCCATAAAGTGAGAATCAAATCTGACTCCTCAAACTTGTGATGGCTTGAGTCAGCCTGTGAGAAAGTTTTAAAGCATGTCAAACTCAGAAAGGAATATGTGACTAGAATTAGGATTGAGAAGGTTGGCAGAGTGGCTAAGTTTGCTGCTTGCTGTCCCCTACCCAAATTGAAGATACTGTAAGCCATTCATTACACAACTGCAAAAAAAAAGTGCAAGGTCACCTATCTTCTCTGACGCTAGCGACACACATCATCTTTGCAGAGGCCTGAAATATACGTCTCACAGTGAGATCCATGGACCAAAGGTGTGGTATAAATAAGCACAACACATTTTCTTTATCCATTCATCCACCGGTGGACATTTAGGATACTTCCATAACTTGGCTATTATAAATAATGCTGCAGTGAATATAGGGGTGCATATATCTTTTGAATTACTGTTTTTTCCTCTTTGGATAAATACCCAGAAGTGGAATTGCTGGATTATATGGTGGTTCTATTTTTAACTTTTGAGGAGCCTCTATATTGTTTACCATAGTAGATGTAGCAGTTTACAGTCCCACCAACAGTGCATGCGGGTTCCCTTTTCTCTACATCCTTACCAGCATTATTGTCTGTCTTTTTGATGATGGCTATTCTGATTAGTGTGAGGTGACATCTCATTTCAGTTTTGATTGGCATTTCTCTGATTACTGATGTGGAACATCTATTCACGGCCATCAGTTTGTCGTCTTTGGAAAAATGTCTATTCAGATCTTTTGCCCAATTTTTGGTTGGATTGGTTTTTGATATTGAGTTTTAAGTATATATTCCAAATAATAAAATACCAAGTTCTTTACGTGCTCTACTGTTGATGGACATAATGTTGCTATGAACATTTTTGTATATTCTCCTGGTGTGCATGTGAAAGAGTTTCTTCTGGATGAAAAGATAAGTGTGATGTAAAAGACTTTAATGGCAAAGTGGTTTCCAAAGTTGTGCCACTTTTTATTCCTATTATCAGTCTGCCAGTAACCCTACAACTTCCTCTGCATTTGATAATGTCAGGTTTGTTAATTTTCCCCAGTCGAGTGGGTGTGTAATAGTATCTTATGTTTTAACTGATTTTCCCCAGGTTTCTAATGGGATTGAACATTTTTTGTCAAATGTTTAGTGCCCCCTTAAGCTTTTGTTTTTTAAAAATAAAATGCTTGTTGAAGTCATTAGCCCATTTTTTCCTATTTATAAAAATTTATTTGTAGGAGTTTTGAAAAAAATATATACATATTCTGAATCTGGCCCTTTGCTTATGTGTTGCAGATAGCTTTTCCCAGTTAGTAGCTTGTCTCTTTCACTTTCCTCACGGTGCCCTAAATTTTAAAATGTCTCCTTTTTTAACCTTTTCAGAACGCCAGTCTGAATTGCCAACCCAAAGTAAGGCTAGCTTCCCTAGTATTCTCAGTGACCCAGACCCGGATTCTTCTAATTCTGGATTTGACAGCTCAGTTGCCTCTCAGATCACGGAAGCATTAGTCAGTGGACCAAAGCCGCCTATTGAAAGTAAGTATATAGTTTATACTCTTGATTTTATTTTATCGGCTTGCCTGTCAGATCACGGAAGCATTAGTCAGTGGACCAAAGCCACCTGTTGAAAGTAAGTACATAGTTTATACCCTTGATTTTATTTTATTGGCATCCCCTGAGATGGTTTTCTGAAACACTGTTATTTTCATTGCTTCCTAAACTAGAATTTAATGAGAAATTTCTTAGTATAGTGCCTGGAACATAGTGGAAATGCTTGGTAAAGGCTACCTTCTTTAATAAAATTATATGCCAAATTTTTTATCACATATCTGTCATCAGCATATCTGAAGATGTAAATTGTCTGATTTTACTGAAATGAGTCTATTTTTGTAGCTTATTAGCTGTTTTATACCTCTTTATTAATTTAATCACTATCATTCTTCATTGTAAAGTTTTACTAATCTTATAGCTCTTAATTTACCTTAATTCATTTTTTTTATTATTCTTTTATTCTTCAAATACATTTGTTTCCATTTTCCCGCCATCACTTTCCCCTGCCCCACCCACCCCCACCTCCCACCCTCAATCCTTCCCTACTTTGGCTTTGTCTGCAGGTCTTTTATACATATTCCTTGATTTGATCCTTTCCCTTTTCCCGTTACCTGCCACCCCCCCCACCCCCCGCCTTCCCCTCTGGTAACTGACATTTTTTTTTCTTTCAATTTTGCTGGTTATATTTTTCTTGCTTGTTTGTTTTTGTTGATTAGGTTCCACTTATAGGTGAGATCATATGGTATTTGTCTTTCACCGCCTGGCTTATTTCACTTAGCATAATGCTCTCCACTTCCATCCATGCTGCTGCGAAGGGCAGTAGCTCTTTTTTTCTTTCTGCTGCGTAGTACTCCATTGTGTAAATGTACCATAGTTTTTTGATCCACTCATCTACTGATGGGCACTTAGGTTGCTTCCAGCACTTGGCTATTGTAAATTGTGCTGCCATTTACCTAATTTACACAAAACATCTATTGAACGTGAAATATTATAGCTGCATCTTTTTGGTTTTATAGGCTTCTATGTGGTTTTAATAATGGCCTTTCTGCTTAGGGATAAGAACATGTTCTCCAGATTACAGTATCCACATGAGATTAAAACTTACTTTTTATGCCATTTACAGTAAATCTTTGGCATAAATGGATTTAGTATTTAAGTCTCAGCTGGTCACAAGTGTGCCTGAAGGTCCAAGGCACATACTCACTCAGGTGCAGTTTTGACTGCATGGGCTGCCAGAGAGGTGTGTGAAAAGCAAATCTATCAGACAGTAATTGAGTAAACAAATACCCAGCATCTTTACCTCATGGAAATTTGATCATATTTTGTTGGCCAGAAAGCTCATTTAGTTTTAAGTAAAAATAAAAGACACATTTTTCATTTTCACCAATTACTTTATTGAACAGTGTATTCATTGTTTTGTTCCACTGCCTTCAGGCAACTTCGTAACTCCATCTTCCCAAAACTTATCTTTTTGAGTAAAAAAGAACTGTTCAGGTGCCTTTTGCAGTCCTCCAGGAATTGAAATTTTTTTAATTAAGAGAATTTTGTAAAGACTGAAAGAAATGGAAACCTGAAGGTGCAATGTCTGGTGAATATGATGGATGAACCAGAACTTCCCAGCCAAACTCTTAACAGTTTTTGCCAGGTCATCAAAGAAATATGTGGTCTTGCATTACCCTGATGGAAAATTATGTGTTTTCTTTTGACTAAATCTGGATTGTTTTTCCTTGAGTGCTGCTTTCATTTGGTCTAACTAGGAGCAGTAATCATTTGGTTTTCCAGAAGGAGCTCATAATAGAAGACTCCCTTCCAATTCTATGATATATACAACATCACCTTCTTTGAAGACTGGCCTTTGGTGTGGTTAGTGGTGGTTCATTTTGCTTGCCCCATGATCTCTTCTGTTCCATGTTATTATAAAATACCCACTTTTCATTGCCCATCACAATTTGTTTTCAAAATGGAATGCTTTCACCCTGGCTGGTGTGTTTCAGTGGATTGTGTGCCTGGTTTGATTTCTGGTCAGGGCACATGCCAGGCCAGGCCCCCAGTGAGGGGTCCATGAGAGGAGAGGCAACCACACATCGACACACATCGATGTTTCTCTCCCTCTCTCTCCCTCCCTTCCCATCTCTGTGAAGATAAATAAATAAAGTCTTTAAAAACAACGTTTTTGTTATGTTTAAGTAGGGAATTGCTTGTGGAAATATGGTCAAGGTTTTTTTTCATTTAACTTATGTGAGACCCGAACATCAAAATGATTAACATAACCAAGCTGGTGCAAATGATTTTCAGTGCTTGTTGGAAATTTTGAGTATGTCTGCATAGTGTAATATTAATTGTTCTTAATTACTGTCTCAATTTGATTGCTGTCAACTTCATCTGGTCCACCTGATTGGAATGTCAGTCAAGGGAGAAAGCTCCAGCACGAAACTTTGCAAATCACTTTTGACACATTTGATCAGTCACAGCACCTTCTCAATATACTGCACAAATCTTTTCTTTTGCATTTCCGTTGCATTTTTACCTTTCTTGAAATAGGAAAACATAATATGCTGAAAATGTTGCTTATTTTCTTTCATCTTCAATATTAAAGTGGCTACACAAAAATTCACCAATTTTGATGTTTCTTTAAATGCATACTGATGATGACATCTGTCACAATATAGCAAAATTGTTTCAAATTAAATTAAGACAACAAAGCTCTACTAGAGCCAGCTTACAGGGAAACCAGACAAACTTTTTGGCCAACCAAGTAGTGCTTCTCACGAAGAGATTCAGGTACTAGTTCTGGTGATATATAGTTTGAACTAAGGTGATTAATTCTTAGCTAGAAAACAGAGATTTTCAATAAAGTAGAGTATAATCTCAAATTTGGTAGGGGCTAGGATCTATGATAGAAACAAAACATCTTGGGCCTTATCTGGAAACCAGAGGTGTGAAACTTGTTCAGAAGTCCAAGCCAGCATTTACTTCAGTGGATTTCTAACTTAGGGATCAGTCTTGTTTTATGAAATAGGTGTTGTGTCTTTTCCTGTTGTACTTTAACTGTTTTATGGAAATGAATATGGTATTTGTGAATTTATGGAAGTCTTCAGATTCATTTGAAAATGTCAAGTCTACCATACTTTTTTCCTCCCTGACTTTTCATCTCCAGTCATTTGCCACTTCAAGGTTGTAAGATGCAGAGATATAACTACAACTCATAGTGGTCTCTGAATAAAATAGTGGTAACTAAGAATAGGATGAGTGAGATCAAATAGTATTTCGTTTTTCCCATTGAAAGACTTTTACCAATATAGTAGGTTATGTCCTTTTGCTGTTGAGTGGTAATCATGCTTGAATGGAAAGTTGTCAGGTCATGGCAATACATTGCTCTCCTCTCTCTAAAATACATAGATTTGGTCTTTGGCATAGTAATGTTATATTAGTGTTTCACTTTCTTCTTTGTATTATGAATAAAACCCTGACTTTCTATATCCCTTCTGTTTCTGGTTTTGAAGTCTCAGTTTTATTCTGTTATCCTTATTATAAAAGGGTGATAGTGTAATTCATTAAGTCTAACGTATGAGATGTATACAGATGTTTACAGGTGTTGGCTTCCTGACAAAAGCAGTCACATGTTACTATGCTCCTTTACAGGCCATTTTCGGCCAGAGTTTATTCGTCCACCACCTCCACTCCACATTTGTGAGGATGAGCTGGCATGGCTAAATCCAACAGAGCCTGACCATTCAATTCAGTGGGATAAATCAATGTGTGTTAAGAATAGCACAGGTGTAGAGATCAAGCGAATAATGGCCAAAGCCTTCAAAAGCCCCTTATCTTCTCCTCAACAAACACAGGTAAACCTTTTCTTTAATCCCTCAAGCATTTATTTCTGTTTTTCATAACATCATAAATGACCAATAAAATGATATTCTCAACATGAACCAGTAGTAGGCAGTTTTTGGGGATCCAGAATCTTTGGATCCCTGTAGTTCTTTTCTGCCGCTCCCACTGTGGTGGGGCAAGAACTCTGAGGACTAAACACATACCAACATTTGTTTGGGATCATTGTGACTCTGGGAGGAGGGATGGGATGGGTCTCACTTTTTTGGTACTTTGCTCCTGTTCTCTGCCAGCTAGACAAGTTACGTACTGTCACATTGAAACTGGACAGTAACTCTTCCTGAGGGTAAGTGGGTTTACTAACATTTTGGAAGAGGAAAAAGGCTCAGGTAAGGTAAATGAGCCCCCCTGTTGCCCAATTAGAAGACTCCCCTTGGGGGAAAGACAAGGACAGCCTGTGGGTAGTTTCTGGTTGGTGAGGTATATTCAGATTGCATGCTTTCACATTAGAACTTGTCATAAGATGTTGACCATCTCCAGTGCAGTTTATCACCAAAAATACTATTTTCAAAGTCAATAGTTGTTTGTAGTTCACTTTACTTAGTAGACCATGCTGAAACATATTCCACTGTTGTACATATAAGTAGATAGGGAAAGAACATAGAATTTTTTAAAGAAAAAGCAATTATTTGGCAGGAAAAAATTGTTTTAGAGGATATCTCTTCCAATTGCACAGTGTGAATGCAACTTGAACCATAAATACTGCAAATGGATGGGCTGTAGGACAGATCTCCCTCTTCCCATCCTAGTTCCTTCTTAGGAATTTCTCTTCCCCACCTGGAGCTGGGCTCTGCTCTTGTTTTAGATGCTCCTCAGTTCCGTAAGGTCTGTGCTTTTTGGGAGAACTAGTTGGTAATTAAAATTATTTTTGGTTATAATAGATGACAGAAAAACCCACAAAGGACTTAAGGACAATGTAACAATCTATACAGTATTTTATTCAACTGAACAATATTGAGTCTGGTTTAATGCCTGGGAAGAATCACTGGCGTATTTATAAACTATCTTAAAAGTGTTTATACTTTAGTATCTTTATAATGCAAATGTAAATTGAAAAATATCAAGTTGTTATGAACATGGCTTTCAGGGAAGAAAGTTATGAAGTTGGTTCAATGCAGGTAATTTTAGTTTTTTGTGTAAAATAAAAATTTTTGTATGCAGGAAACAGAATGTGCACTTTGACTAAAGAACTCCTTTCTGTTTTTAAAAATCTGATTGTGTTTAGCTCCTTGGTGAGTTGGAAAAAGACCCCAAACTTGTTTATCATATTGGCCTCACTCCAGCCAAACTTCCTGACCTAGTGGAAAACAACCCTCTAGTAGCCATAGAAATGTTGCTGAAGTTAATGCAGTCAAGCCAGATCACCGAGTATTTTTCAGTCCTGGTCAATATGGATATGTCTTTACATTCCATGGAAGTTGTAAATCGGTAAGTTCCTACACTTGACTGGGGGTATGTAGATCCTGGTTACATGACCAGGAGGGAGAACTAGCCAACAATTTTTTCTGATCTTGTTAGCCTGAGACAACCCATTAAATATGAGCTTTAGGGGTTCACAGGAAAAGAACCCAGAAAGTAGGATTTCAAATATTTAGCATTAATAGACATAATTAATTGCTGAAGTTTATTTCTGTATATAATTGTATATTCTCTACCTCTACACAAATAGATGTTGCATTATTTTTTGTTAGTGACTAACAGCTATATTGTGGCAAAGTATGGGTTTTAAGACCTGCAAGAATTCTGGGAACGTCACCCTAGAAGTCCTTGCTCTGTTTTCCCACCCTCTTGACTCTTCTTACTCTGTTGTCATTAACTATCAGAGAAATGTAACGCATTCCCTTTCTGATACTCTCTGTACAGTGTCTTCCCATTTTATACTATTTTCCTTAAAAAAGTTTTAGGTAAATTATAGATTTACTAGGCTTGTGGGGGTTAGCTTGCTAGCCTACTATTTAATGAAGCTGTTTATATATAGAGTAGCCATATGCACAGGTTTGTTTGAGTAGTCCCAATTTAGGCTTCCCTTGTCCTTCTTTCATGTGGTGTCCTGTCTGGGGTGCTAAATTATATTTATATGGTCTTCCTGCTACGTGGGGAAATCCACTCTGAGGGCCAAGCAACTGAACTTCAATTAGAGCAAATTTTCTGACACCTGTTAATTTTTAGGATTTTTTAAAACCTCCTTGCAGTTGTACTAGAGAATATGTCATTTTAAGTTGATCAGCTGGTGAAAAAAGCCTAGGTGAAGACAGGGGACTCCAAACATGAGAGAGTGCATCCTTTTCTGGGTGGGAAAAGCAGGATAAGGTTTTCAACATTTTTGTCAGCGGCAAAACTGGTTAGCTGCTTCTTTAAAACATGCTACTTCATTTCTGCCTTCTCCTTGTTCAAGACTTTCCCCTACTGTTAAGACTCACTCTTCTTTTAGGTGCTGCATTCTGTCAAGTTTTTTGGGTTGACAAAGCTCTGATCACTCTGAGAGCTCACTTCTTCCCCTTCACCACATTCTTGTAGGAGTTATTGTCTACCAGACATTTGGCACTTGGTCCAAGAATAACTACGTCTTCCTATCAATAATTTCAAGGACAAGATCTGCTCTTTGTGCTCTACCCCCCAAATCATAGAGCATCACCCATAAGTGTGGAACATCTTGTGACTGCAGCAGCCTATGGCAGTGTTAACTTGGAATAGTAGTTTGTCAGTGCCTTATGGGATAAAGTTCTACACTCAAGAAAGTTTAGTTTCTTCTGGAAATTCATACTGTATAGTTAGCACGCATACTTTTATATGAACATGGAATCCCCACTTAATTTTTTCATTTTTCCTTAAATCATCCCATTGAATCCTTTGAAAAATACCAGCCTCCCCTTTTGAGACTCTAAACTGATCTGCTGCCATGCCATGCCTTTTGCTAACTTCCAGCCAGGTCTTGCCCACTGTGCTAATCCCTGATTCCAAGCTTTACTCACATCCTGTACTTCTCCACTGAGCTGTCAATTTAAGTAATTTGCTCTTTTAAGATTTTTCCCAACTCTTTTCACACATTACTTTTTGCAAGTGCCTCATTTTAGCATTTAGTTAGTAAACTTACACCCCCTTCAGACACACTGCTTTGCATAGCACCTAACATATAATCACGGTTTAGTAAATGAATAGTCATTACCAAGGCTATTAGAGCTTGGAACATAACAATTATATGATTCAGCTAAGAACACACTGGGTCATTGTGCTCAAAGAATTGGCATAGACAAAAAATGGACGTACCATTTATTAACAAATGGGTGTGGCTCTTAGGTTTATTTGCATTAGGTATATTTAAAACTAGATAATTGGTCATATATCAGAAATTTGCACTAAATGAGCAAGGGAAACTTCCTATTTTATGGTTAACAATGTTTTTTAATGTTAGCAAATATAATGAACAGCCCTAATCTTCTAACTTCATGAAACAGACTGACTACAGCTGTTGATCTACCTCCGGAATTTATTCACCTTTATATATCAAATTGCATCTCTACCTGTGAACAAATTAAGGATAAATATATGCAGGTAAGTAATAGAAATTTTAGTAAATTTTATAAATACCTGCCAAGAAAATGGGCACATGAATTTTTTTTTTTCCTTCCAGAATCGTTTGGTGCGTCTTGTGTGTGTCTTTCTCCAATCCTTGATCCGTAACAAAATTATTAACGTTCAGGACTTGTTTATAGAAGTGCAGGCATTCTGTATTGAGTTCAGCAGGATACGAGAAGCTGCTGGCCTTTTCCGGTTGTTGAAGACATTGGATACTGGGGAAACACCTTCTGAGACCAAAATGTCGAAATAATATCCCATCAGAACCACCCCATTCATTGTTCAGCTGTACTGTGATTTAATTTTTAAAACTGTTAAAACCCTGAGTGAATTTTTTGGTGTAATAGATATAAACAACACTTGAGCTACTTAAAAGAGTTTTACTTTTCTTTACAAGAATTTTTGGTAAGAATTTGCTGCTGTAGTTTTCAGGGTCCTCCCCGCCCCTTGAGATGTTCATTAGTTCTTTTGTTATTAGTCTTAGATAGCCATTTTTTGTTTTAAGGAGAAACAGTCAGTGCTTTGGAAAGTAATACCATCGCTGAGGATCTGTCATGTAAAACTGCTTTGTGAATAGACTCTGCACTCTGGTTTGTGGTGGGGCAGGCACACTGAGAAGTAGGAGAGCAATAGGGCATTGTGTGGGCTGTCATCACTCATTTAACTTTGGACAACAGTGCCTTACATTAAAGTTCTTTTTTATAGATTCTGTATTATCTGAATGTATTTTTTTCTTGAAGAAACCGAAAAATTCTTTATGTACTGAGGTATTTTCAAAGCACATTTTATAGGGAAGTAATCTGTTAAACAGTAATTACCTTCCAGTTCAGTCCTCAGCAAAAGTTTAAGAAAACCAACTCTAGTGGTTTGGATATAAATTTCAATCTTGAAATACCTGCAAGAGTAGTACTCTTAGATTTGTAATAAATTTAATTGTAAGTATCCTTATGAAAATGAGGGATTTATTAATATTTACTTAAAATGACCCAAGTTGAGGTAACAGAGGAGCACCTTCAGACATCCAAAATGATGGTAACAAACTTGATTTTTTCTAAATACCTCAAAATGGGCATCACTATTTTTTGTGTATTAGCCTGGGGGCAGAAGTAGGAGGAGTTCATTATTCAAGTACTTCTGGGAACAGCAAAGTTTCAACCACTGCCACTGTTGGAAGCAGCCCAACGTTAGGCTCCTGATTCTCTGATAACATTGAACTCATGGCCAGTAGTACTGGAACTCTTGCCTGAACAAAGCTTATTTAACATACATTTTTTCTGTGAGGCACATCACATCCTTGTGCTTGGGACCAGTAGACAGCATTTAAGCACTATACTTGGGGCCATTTTAAAGAAACCATGCACAAAAAGTACAAACTGGCAGTAAATAGACCATGAAAAGACCATTAAAAGGTCACATGTTGACAGTTTGAGAGCTGAAACAAGACTCTTCCTCAACTGGAGCGTGCATGTCCACAAACAACTGCAAAAGCACTGCCTAAACTGATTTTCAGGTTACAAATAAATTTTAGTAGGCAAAGTCACAGACAAGGACTCTGAGTAGAGTGATGGATGCTGATCATTTCAGGATCACAATATTGGCGTTTTCTTGAAAGAGGAAAGGCTTTCCAATTTATTTCAAATAGCTTTCAAAAAGTAGTTATATTTACAGAACATAATATATAAACCAGATTTAAGATTTATATTTAGAATATCAGCAAAAGGTTCTTCATTAAATAGGTTTAAAAGCAGAGGGAATTTATCTGAAATATAAGAAACTATAATCCTGGGATTAAGTAAGCACAATCAAGTTTTCATTTGTTTTTCTTTTTTTTCTCTTTTTGTGCAATCAACTTTTAAGCATACTCAGAGGAGTTCAGTTTAACTGTTGTCTTTAAAAAAAATCTGTAATTCTCTGGATTTTCCAGTTCCAATTTTTTGCTTTAATATCTTCAAACCATCTGTTAAAAAGAAGACAACACTAAATAACAGGGTAGAAAGAAGTTACTTCAAAAACAGTATTTGGGACCCTAAAATACAATTATTTAAAATAATTTAACAGTATAGTATTCACTTAACCTTAAGAAATGGTATGGAAAATAGTACCATTTTATTCTTGAAGGTACATTTTCACATAAATTTAAGCAGCACACACCATCTTATATATTCTGTAATGATTTACCTTCCCATGACGAATGAGGGAGCATATACCTACTAGGTCAGCAAAAGCAGGTTTACAGTTCTGTGTATGCAAGACAGTTTAATTACTATATTTTCCATATGACAACTAAAACCTGCTTTTGCCCCATCCTACATTTTAAATAAAATTTTCAGTGATAGCCCTTTAAGACTGTATTTTAAGGCTATCTGGAAAACAACTGGAAGAACTATTTACATGTTCATTAAAATTCCTGCACCTACTAAGATGCAAAATTTTTTTGTTGTTGCTGACTTCATATTCTGTTTCCTCTTTGCAGTCACTGCTGTTTTGCAGAAAAACCCCAAGCCACTTCCAAAAGCACTCATAACATCCTGGGATTCAATGATGTAAATCAGTGCACAGAAGTAATGGTGTTCCTAGATTTCTCAATAGCCCATAATACACAAGCCTACAACTCATCAAAAAAAGAATGGATTGACTTTTTAGTGTTGTATTAATTTTAAATTAATGCAGTACTTTTCTCAATTTACAACTTAATACCTTGTCAATTTCTAGTGGTATCACTGACACTAAAATTTTCACTTTATAACACAAATCAGTATTTTTAAAAATGAAATGCTTATAAGTGCTTTTAAAACTTCAAAAACTAGCTAGGAAAGGTGTAGGTGGCTTTTCTAATTGGTTGTGTCACAGGAGTACAACATATTTTATGCCGCAAGACTAGCTTTGGTTCAGGCCAACATCCTGTGCTTTGTAAATTCCAGAGTAGGGTTTACACAGAGCCTAAAGAAACTGCTTTTTAACTAAGACCTACAATTGCCTCATGTTCAGGTTAGTAATAAATACACACTGATTTAATCTCAGCATTCACTAAACAAACTTTAGTGCTAAAAAGAAGAAACTTGCCAAATTAAGCTATTTTAACTGGGAAATTTGATTATGTTGGGTCGTTCATCCACATGGGGACACACCTGTTCTTGAAAGTTTATTATTATGATTCCAGCCATCTTTGATTCAGCCAATATATTGTAAAGTACACAGGCATTTATTATTCATTTAAGGCGTAGTGTTGTCCAAGATTCACTTATTATTTTTCCTTAAAAATACCTGAGCTATTTGGAGTGTTCCTTGGAAAGCTTGCCCAAACATGAAACTTCCATCCTTTTACTGAGGTCAGACCAATGGTTCGCTTCAGGAGATTTTGTCATCGTGCACCCACAGAGAGCAAACTGCTGATGGAAGCACTGCAATTCGGCCTTTTATTGTCATCATTCCTCAGTAACCACAGGGAGCAAGCTTTTTGGAAAGGCTGTGTATAGTCAAGATCCCTAAAAAGACAGCATGCAAAGAATTACCTGATGTGGTACTGTTTCCATGCTTCTCCTCCAGACCTTCCTGGCAAGAAGCATGTGGGCAAGCAGGGGACCACGTTGGATGCTTCAAGTTCATGGACACACTGCCTCCTTCACAGGCTGCCTGCCAACTTTCAAAGTTAAAACTTTTTACGTTATTTGTGAAAAAATAGCTTTTATGACAATTATTAGAATGAAAATGATTATCCTGCCATAAATAATAACTACTCTTATTTAGTATACTTTCTTCACTTACATTCCTCGTATTCCCAGCAATTTATCAACTTTTACATTTTCAGCCCAAATTTGAGTAGCATTTGACTGTTTTCCTATTTCTTTTCATCTTTAAAAATACCTACCAAAGGAAATATTTTCCTTTTGAAGTACTGAATGAAGAGTTTATCTTCAGTTTTTTTCTGTTGTTAGAGATCTGTGTTTCTAGAGAAGAAACCTCAATTTTTACACTCTCTTCTATTTATAATTTAGTGTTCAAACTTTTGAATTAAGGAAAGCTCTATCTGACGGTCGCTGATTATAAAATTACAGTATTCTTTTAGAACTCAGCCTCATTGGCTACTGGAAAAAGTTGTTAAAGCATTTTTCCCTAGTATGTTTCTTATAATACAAAGAAGCAATTTACTCAGTATAGAACCAAGGACACATTTTCCTATTCACAATGAACCAGACAAGGCAGATTTTAAAGATAATGATTATTATGAAAACCTACTTTGAGGCTGTTTAAATGAGAGTTCAAAGTACAATAAATTTTCTATTTTAATAGCTCTTCAAACAATTCACTGAGTGGTTACAAAGTGTGGTAAATAGTTTGAAAAAAATATGGTATCTAAAACTTTGTATCTTAGATACAGCTATTAAGTTCTTTAAATTTTGTAAAATATATTCTCAACATTTATTTTTACCCCCCCAACACAAAAAAGATATACACAAGTAACGAGAATCAAAGCAACATATGACTACAATTTCAAATTCTAAAAAAACTCTAGGCCCTGGCTGAGTAGCTCAGTTGTTTAGAATGTTGTCCCAATATGCCAAGGTTGTACGTTAGAAAACCAAGGTTGCCCATTAGAAAACATAGAAGAATGAACTGATGAATGCATAAATGAGTGGAACAACAAATCAATCTCTCCCTAAAATATCAATAAAAACATAAATTACTGTCCCTCATCCTCCTCAACTTCCACCACTAATGAGTGACAGAAGAGCAGGGTGTGTGTCTTTAATCACTTTGTATAAGTCCATCTCCAAATGTTTTCTTTATATTTGCCTGCTCCTTTCACTTACAAGAACAGCAAACAAAAGTAAATAGAAATAGATGATTAAACAAGGTCATGGTCACTAAATTTGCTTTAAAATAAAAAAACTGGCTACGTGTTTATTTTGTTACAACAATCAAAAAGTCTCCATCCCTCACCTTTATGACTGTAAATATTAAACTGTAATTGGAATAAATCAATTACATTCATCATTTACAAAGAAAATGTTTCTACTTGATTTCCTAACAAAGCAATGAAGAACTTAATGCTCATGTGAAATACAGATTCTTAGTACTTTTATTTGTTGAAAAAAATGAACAAACTTCCCATCAAGGTGTCATAAGAAATTAGATAATATAATAATGAAAAAGTGCTCTAAGGTTTTGAAATCTCTGTAATACCAGTGTACACGAAAGCTGTAGAGTTCTCTCATTTGTAAGTTTAATGTTCTAAAAAAAGAGTTTCCTCCAGGGAAAATTGATGTGGTCAATTTATAGAATTTAATTACACAATTTCATTTCAACTAATCAATTCAGTGCACTTAAATCTAAAACCATCCTTAAGAGATAGGATTAATCTTGTTTATATAGTACCATAGGAGCTAGTCTAGTATTTAGAAACACTGTCCATCCTGACATTATCCTGCCTTCCCTAGTCATCTCTTCTGTAAACAACCTGGAATAACTATTTATTATAACTGATACACTTTAGTAGATAAATATATGACACTAATGAAATAGTCTCTTTAAGAAGAAAGTATCTTAGTCCTTTGTATATCATTTCAGAACATGAAAGGTAAAGGAATGTTCATTATTTTCAAATAAACAAACTACGTGTTAAATTAGAAAAAATAAAATGTCTTTGAATTCAAAGTTCTGTCTGTGCCACTCTCAGGGGCTAATGTGCTAGGAGATGGGTCCTTCATGCTGAAGGTTGCTCTGGCCCATTTCTACAACAAAGCAACAAAAGCCATTGGTCAGTTGGCATATTCTGAACTTCAACTGAATGAACAACAATACTCACGTAGGGACTGTAAGGCAATCAACAAATTGCAAAAAATTCTAAATAAAATTTATATGTAAAAATGGCAACCCATTCAAGACAGTCAAGTCACATATAGTTTGAGACGCTTTCCAGTATTAGCCTAACCAACATTAATCTGATCAACACGGTGTCATAAAAAAAATGATGGCGTCTAAATTGGTGTTTCAGTGTGTTTCCAAAAAGTAAAACGTAGCTTTGGTGATGACGATGATGAGGTCACTGCCCATGAAACCAATAGCTACCATTTATCAGGCAATATATATTGACCCAAGGTAGACACTATATATTATCCCCATTTTACAGATGAGGAAACTGAAGCACAGAAAAGTGAAAATATCTTGGAATCTGGTATTCAAATCCTGACAGTCTAATATACTAGGCAAAGGAGTACAAAATAATTTTAGCACAAAAGATTTCTTAAAATAATAGAATAGTTCCTTAAATGCATAAGAACCAAACACTTTGAACTCACCTACATTAGAGCTAAGTGCAAGGGAAACTGGACAAGTGAAGTAGAACAAACCAGAGAAATATATTCTCTGGTGAGTGGTCTACCATTGTTACTTTGTAATCTGGCTTCTTTTTATACAACTTTACTTCTATTATTTGAAATTATATTATCTTAGTTTTAAGAGGGCATTTGAGGAAGGACCCTGACAAACATGCATTACAGGTAACAAGAATGAAGAAAAATCTGGAAACTATTTTTTTTTTTTAAAGATTTACTTATTTTTAGATAGAGGGGGAGGGAGGGAGAGAGGGAGAAAAACATCAAGGCGTGGTTGCCTCTCACGCACCCCTCACTGGGGACCTGGCCTGCAACCCAGGCATGTGCCCTGGATTGGGAATCAAACCTGTGACCCTTTGGTTTGCAGACCGGCAATCAACCCACTGAGCCACACCAGCCAGGGCTGGAGACCACTTCTGAAGGATGTTCAGTCAGGGGAGAAGTTTTATCTGTCTTTAAACATCTCAAGGGTGGCCAAATATTAGAGAAGCAAATTTCCTTTCCTTTCTGGGGACTGCCAGCAATGGCACAAATTACATTGGTATGCACTTTGCCTCAACACAATGGAATTCCTAAAAATAAGAGTTGTGTATATACAAAGGCACTACCTTGTAAGGTAGTTTACTCCAAGCAGGCCAGAGAATTAGTTAGAAGAATGCCTACAAGATATCAACCTCCCAACTTTTTAATTCTCTAAAATACAGAATCTTGCTTTCCTTCCACAGTGCAGTCTTTCTTCCTCTAGTACCCATTTAAAATTTAAGCTCTAGCTCTAGTATTTCTACCTTTGCCTCACAGATTCGAAACATGTTAAAAAATGAGAGAAACTGATTCAGTTTGTTACAAATTTGGAAAAACATACTTCCTCTTCCAGGATGGCAAATTTTAAAATTAGAAGCATCAATTATTTGTAATGTAATTCAGTTACAATAAAAATTCTGATGGGACTTCCTTTTACTTGACAAAATGATTTTAAGATAATCTTAAAAAATGTAGAACAGCGCTGGTCTGCAAACCAAAGGGTTGCTGGTTCAATTCCCAGTCAGGGCACATGCCTGGGTTGTGGGCTGGGTTCCCAGTGAGGTGTGTGAGGCAACCACACATTGATGTTTCTCTCCCTCTCTTTCCTCTCTGTCTAAAAATAAATAAATAAAATCTTTAAAAAAAAATGTAGAACAGGCCAGATTATTTTTTCATTGCAGCACATTTCAAAATCACTTCGTACTGATTTAAGACTAGAACACACACTATCATTCAAACTCCAATTTATCTTCTCAAGTGAAAGTCTAAACACAGGCATTCAAAGACTTCTACAATCTACAAAGGTTTCAATCAAGTGAATACATTCCTGTCAGAGTATCTTAAGAATATAGATGCTAAAATTTAAAGTCTTGGGATTTATTTGATAATCAAAATACATCATCACTTACAATATTGATGATCAAATACTGCCTAGACCACGAAAATTAAAGTTTTACTTTTATAATACCATTGTGTACAATGTTATGCCTGAAGATGAAAAGTTAGAACATATATATGAGAGGTGTCCTCCTCCCCCACAAAACGAGAATTATCTTCTCCAGGGTGGGCCCCTGTAGTACAGGCTCCCCCTGGTAGGTGACTGTTCTAGGAACTGAGCTGTATCAGTGTGCCCGCTGGTGGTATTTTGAGAGGCTGCGTTCTGCATCAGTGAATTTTTTCTTTTTGGAGACTCCATGTGTTCGCCCATTTCATGATGGGTGATTTACAAGCACACCTGTCTATACCATGCTAAGTGTTCAGCAGTTTTTGATCAAAAATGGCATGACTCCCGTGCACCACCATCCCTATTCACCCAATCCTGGTCGGATGAAAAAAAGTCCTCAAGGGGAAACATTTTGCCAATGTGGAAAAGGTGAAACAAAAAATGGCAGAAGCACTAAAAGACACCAAAATCAATGAGTTCAAAAAATGTTCTGAGCAGTGGAAAAAACATCTTGATAGTTGTATTGCATCAAATGGAGAGTACTTTGAAGTTGACTGAAGTTTAAATGTGTAAGAATATATACACAATTTTTTATAAATAAATTTGGTTTTTGGCAGTCCCCCCTTATTGTTGTAAATTTTATATACTACAAGTATATATTTACCATTTATGTATTTATTACAAAAGTGATTTTCCAAATAAATTGCAATAGTACAAAAAGTTATTTTAAATAAAATAATAAAAGTACTATTTACTTAAATGTTCCAACAAATGAAATATTTTTGCAATACAATTTTTTAAAAAGTCCAATTTTCCTCTTGGTGTTTATTAGAAAATAAATGCAACCCACAGAATGAAATGTACACAGTAAAACTTCATTAACTGGAACCAAGGGAAGGACATATGAATGGTAGAATATTTATTAAGAAACGCAATTTTGCTAACCTCCCTAGTCTTGTACCTTTATTTAGCCTGTCAAAATATTAAGAGGCAGTACTTGGCATATAATAATATGAATGTTCCTGCATTCATTCAAAGTATAAAGATGTTCATGTCTATTGCAATTACTCTGTTAGTAAGCAAACACCCTTTTAAAGGGCAAGGCTTTCATCTCTGAAGCAGCTAGTTTCCTTAAAATCTTTTAAACTTCTCATTTTTGTTTTTACATGATGTAAAGCAGTAAAGTCCTAATTAATTACCCTAATTAATTTTTACTATGTTTGGGAATTCATATATTAGACACTGTTTTGATATCAAAATAATAAGAATTCAGTACACAAATCATTTCTCCTCCCCCTAGACGTGAAATTTTGTTTTTCTGAGACAAGGTCAACTAGTCATGGCAAATTAAAGTCTGACTTTCCAATACTTAAAACATTCATGCTTTTACCTCTTTTATACCAATCTATGCTGTTTGAATATGCTCAATGAATACAAAATAACTTCATATTACAACCAAAAATAGGAAATACAAAATCAAAACAAACCATATGGCATTATGAAGTTAAGATTTAAGTTATTCCATGATTATGTGGCTTTAGAATTATACCCTCCAACAGTATATACTCTAAAAAGCTGACTTTTCTAGACAAAAATAATGTGAGTTCCTAAGCTACAGTGAAAACTATCTTGAAATAAAAGGTTTTAATAATCTCAATGCCCTTTTGCAAATGCTACCTAACTTTTGTAAAGTCAAATATACTCAAACCAGTGACATTATATGAAGGTCACCAATACCAAAGAAATCAGCAGAAACTATGACTATGTTCTATGACTTTAGAAAACTATGCTAGTTACTGTAATGTTCTAGCATTTAAATAATACAATGTAGACCTGGGCTGAAAGGACAGTGAAGTGAGAAATACAAATAATTATTAAGTAGACAAACAAATGAAACACCATACTATATTTCACATGATCTTGAGGACTGCAGGAAAAGTTATTTTTTAATTGAAAATATACTTTAACCAAAAGAAACACTAACTGAATAACCCCGTATTGCTGTGTGAGAGGTTTAAAGGGAGATACAGTACAATATTTTAGCTAGATTCAGCGAGAAAAAAATTTACTATTTTTTTCGCCAAATCTGGTTAAATAAGATATCCCCAAAGTAATGAACACTCATTTTAAATGATAACTGCTTACAAGTTTTATTTAAATAGTAATTGTTAATAGTGGTTTTTACTGAATTCCTCGTATTTACACTTTATGTACATATTTATACTTAGAAGGTAAACTGTACAATAATAAAAATGAGAAAAAGAAATACAGTAACTTAGGTCCAATTCAGGAAACAAGTAAACATAAGTAAGATTAGATTCAGGCAGGTAGTATAACCTCAATGAAATTACCACCAGGGTTTACAGTCCCTCCATCAGGGCTACCGTAGGAAGGAAACAATTACCTCAGTCAAAATTAATCTTAAAAAAATGCAGAACAGGCCAGAAATTTTTTAAAAAGAATAAAGATGAAAGCATTTGCATTGTCTTGCAAATATCAAAACATATTATTCATAAATAACTTATTTACTACACAATATTAGGATAATTGGTTAGACACGTGGGGAAAAATAGGTTAGCTGAATCTCCCTTTAAACTATGTGGATTAAACATTTAAATGTAAAATTAAAAATCACAAATATTAGATAAAAATTTATAATTTCTTTTTAAGCAAAATACATCAGAAAATCAAAGGATACTGAAATTGGGGGGGAGGCACTGATGATATATAATACATATGACAAAGACCAAAGTGCTCTTGGAATCAGTGTGAAAAATTAGTTTCTCTACAGAAAAATAGGCTAAGAATGAAATAGAGAACTTATAAAAGAATGACCAACAAATATGAAAAGGTAATCTCATCAATAATTTAAAAATACAATTCACTCTATTTTACCTATCAGAATGACAGAAAACAATTAAGCAACTGATAAATATACGCATAATGATATAAAAGTATTACTGACAGAAGTTCATCAACAGGGTGTGGTTTAAAGAAATGACTATAGTAAACCCAAAATGTAACACTATGCAGCTATACAAAGTTATCTATCTAGAGCCCTGGTCAGGTAGCTTAGTTGGTTACAGCGTTATCCTGATCCGTCAAGGTTGTGGATTTAATCTCCGGTCAGGGCACATACCAATAATGCATAAATCAACCAATACATGCATAAATAAGTGGAACAAATAGATGTTTCTCTCTTCAAAAATCAGTACATTTAAAAATCATATAAAATAATGTATCTAGTGATATAGAAAGAGCTTCATACACTACATAAAAATAAACAGGTTACCTAGTAACACAGAACTGACATTCTCCTCATCCTTAAACACAGAAAAAACTTCAAAAAGATATTTATTAAAATGGCACTTTATGTTTTTCTTCATTTTCTTTCAATAATTAATAGTGTCAGTTTGTCTTATAATCTGCAAGCTACTTACCTAGTAAGGCTGAGTTTTCACCTGCATCTTCTTTAACATGTACATCCACTGTGCCATGGATTCATTAATGGAAGGTCATGGTGAATTGCTCCCATCACTCCTGTTACCATCTGGTACAGTAATATTCAAATTTGCAGCCAAAACACTTCCCAAGGCCAATTCTGGAGTGGATATCCTTAAGCTCTGCTTTGAGAGTTAGCACAAAAGAAAATGTCTTTTCTAAGTAACACAACCAAAGCTTATCTATCATCTTTTGTTTATAATTCACACAAATGTTTACTTACATACAGAATATGGCAAAAAGCACATCGATGTCTTCTCTATGTGACAATGAATTACTTCTCAATAAGCAGCTTTCCAGGACCTAAACATTTTTATTCTAAAAACCATTTTTCCCTTGATATAAGCAATGCCACTGTTTAAACTATTTTTTGACAGAAAGTGAAATGTTACAAACACTCTGCTGCACTCTTGAACAGATGGTGGAAATCAGCCTGGCTGTTTGCTGCAGATCACTTCTGGCCTTGGCCGTGAGTTCCAGTCACTGCCTGGAACTGCTCTACTGTTTTAGAGTGAGGTGCTAGGGTGTCAGAGATGAACAAGGTTTCTGAACAACACAGAGCTTCAGACTGGATTTTGGTTCACTTAAAAATATTGGCTGTCAATTTGCCTCAAACTTCCCCTCTTCCCCACTTGCTGCTTTAAAGAAGAAAATAAAATAATAAAAGGACTGAGACTCTAGATGATTACTACGTTAAATCTCAAAATTTGGGGGCTATCCAGAAACTTGTTTGATTAATGCCAGAGTCAAAGCTGTGTTGTGATTAAATGAAACTGCTAGTGACCTATTATATGAGGGGTGACTGTGGATTTACTGTGAGCCTTGCCTGAGACTGTCACCTTTGCTTCAAGTGAACACTTCACAGTCCTTCCCTCCGCCCCTCCTCTGGGCTCTCAAGGCCAAAGGCATATTGGCATGCTGCTCCCGTTGCAGCTCCACCTGTGTCCTAGAACACCCCACACCTGTCGGCTACTGTGTGGTATACTGCCGCCTTCACATCAGTAATGAACACTCAGGACATGACTCCTGACATATCACACACCAAATTTTGCGGAGTTTGCATAATGTCCAAACTTGCTCAGTCTACCCTAATCATATTTTCCAGGTATTTCTCTAAATACGTGCCAAACTTAACTACCTGCCAGCCTCAAACCCTACATGTTCACGCCCCTGCAATCTGCTCATCTGTCAGACAAATCCTTTAACTTCCAGCTCAGGTGTCCCTCTATGAAACCACTCCCTGTCCCTTCCCACATACACTTGGCACAGAAAACCCTCCTTCCTCTGCATTCCTTCAGCCTCCTCTGCCATGTTGTGTTTGGGTGGATGTCCTGGCCCCCACCAGCCCAGATATTGAAATCCCCAAAAGCCCAGAGTGAAAGGGCTGTGTCTTACTCATCACTGATTCCCCAGAGCTGGGTTCAGATCCAGCACCTTAGACAGTATTTCTTTGATAAATGCTTGCCAAATTAATGAAAACAACAGTGATAAATGGCACAGCAATGTGGTTAAAGCTGCAAACCAAAGGTCTACCTTTGATGTCTGTGTGAAGGACACAGGGAACAGATGACTGGTCTCCCACAGGGAACATTTTCTTGGAAATGACAACTAGTTATAGTTACTACATGAGAGTGTATCATAACTACCTATGAATCCAACAAAGGGGGGGCCAATGGATCAAAAGAAAATGGCTTATTTGTCAAAAGATTTTAAAAAAATTAAAAGCAAGACAAGTTAATTACTTAGTTTAATTTACTTAGTAATTACAGATTAATTACTAAATTTGATTTAAAGTTACTACAGGTTTACCTTCTTCAAAAAGATATTAAGCTTTCTAGGGATACATTCTAGCTTTCTGAAACTAACATAAGAAAACCCAATCTTATGTAAAATGAAGAATCTTAATTTTGAATACATAAATTATATTTCCAAAAACAAAACTCATGAGGATTAAAGTCTTAATACTAATTGTCAGTGAAATTCCTTTTATACAAATTTTTAGAAATGCTAAACAGGTTTAAAATCCCTAACTCATGAAGTTACTTTAAATGAGCTTCAGAGTGTAACTAGGGAAGGGAAAAGGAAGAAGGAAAAATTTGTCAAGAAAATATGTCAAGCTGCCTGGATTCTGTTGTGTAAAATGCTGTTCCAAGAAGGTGCATTGCCGTGTCTGGAGCAGAGAGGGGGTGGGTCTAGTTCACTAAGAAAACATGTTACAACATTCTACACAGAGCTATCATTATGAAAAACTATGGAATTCTATAGGAAAGACAAATTTTCTAGATATCAAAGCAAATGAGATTTAAAGAAGACAGTTCTTGAATGCTGATCCTTCTTCCTTTCTTTGTACCTATGGTGAGGGCATTCCAGAACTCACATTTGAAAAATATAATTCATAGGAAATTATGCTGGTTACTAAGGTAGTGGTCTCTCAACTATCTTCTGCAGATATGTTAAGCTAGAAGACCTAGAGACTTAAGGGCTATTATGGCTTTAAGAAGAATAAAATGATTATTAAAAAAAAAATTCTCTGTAGTTTCTAACTATAATAAATACTAGAAGAAACTCTAAAAATATGTTTAGCAAGAAGAATGTACTTTATATTTACATTAGTTCTTTCAAAGATCTTTATTCCAAAACTATTTACTATTTAATCAAAAATATATTGAGACACTGATTTGATTATATGAAGACTAAAAACAATAAAAAATAGAACAATCTAGAAAAATCTGTTTTCTTCTCTTTATGTCTCCCCTTTTGGGTAGTACAGTAGTTAAGAGCTTGGAAATAAGCATACTTGTTTCTGAAAGCTGACTCCCCATTAACTAGCTGTGACCTTGGGTGAGCTATTTAGCATCTCCTCAATTTGAGTTTCTAAGTAACAAAACAGAGATGGTGCAGTACTTACCTCATACAGGGCTGTGACGGGCAAATGTAATAATGTATATGGGATTTAGCACATGGCGTGGTTGCTATTATGTGCTCTCTCTCACTTTGCCCTAGTGTCTGTTTTCTGAGAAAGGTCCTATGACCATCTAAGTATCAAACTGATGGAGTAAATTCAATACAGGACACATTTCCCCAACAGCATTTGACTCTGAAACCCAGGAATCAAGAGAACTGGTGTCAGGAAACACTGGCTTTGACTTCCTCATGTGCCAAGATGTGCACTTTGAGCCAGAAAACATCCGGGGCTCCTTCCACTTCAAACATTTCATAATTCTTATTTATACAAGACTGACCACCACATACACATTCTGCAATGTATTATACCAAAATATACTGCTCTAAGTAATCACAAACTCTCTAAGGAAACATCAAGCATATTATTCTATAATCACAAATTTAGTTCATTAATTTTTTTGAAATGTCTTAATTCGTTTTTAATGAAAAAGAAAATTTCTTCAGAGAACCACAAGGATGTTAGAGGGAGTATTCAGTCTATCTCTCTTGCCTCTGGTCAGTGATGACATTGCATCCCTCAGGGAGAACCAGGGCAAAGACTGAATATTAAAAAAAAGGTAACAAACCAAATATCCCAGGGCTCTGATGACATCAAGTTTACACATGTGACACGTGCGGTGATCCAAAAACCATGGGTCAATGCACATTCTATGAAAAATATGCCTAAAAAATTAAGTGAAATCAATATTTGTATTTCATAAAGGAAACAACACATTCTACCAACTTATCTTCTCAATACAAGTTAAATAATGTCCAATCAACATTCTAGTTTATTCACTTACCCTAAGTTCTTATCTATTTTCCATGTTAAACAGAATCTTACAGGGAAATATCCCCTTCGTTCTACAAAAAATAGCAGGGTTTATTTGTGCTTTATGCTAGATTATGCTTTTATGTGCTTTTGAAAGCCTTTTGGGAACAAATGCAGAGTAAGTTAACCAACAGTAAACTAATAGTGATAAACTAATACTAAACTGATAGCATCTTATGTAAGTCTATAAAATGGCTCAAATGGAAAGACACCAAAATATTGCAAGATCATCTTTGAGTTGTAGGCTTTAAAAAGCACATTTCCTGTCATGTATTTTTGTATATGCTATATATTTCTGTAACATCTATCACTTTCAGATAAAAAAAATCATGTACATATTTTCTTTTTACTGACTTGTCTTTAGTGGCTCTTATGTAATGAAGATAAGGAGTTAAGTGTACTAGGTGTTGGACCAGACAGACTGGGCTCAAATTTCAGCTGTGTGACTTGATGCTGTGACTTTGAACTAGTGCTGTTACCTCTCTGCACCTACAATGCAGGTTCTTTTGAGGAGCAAACATGTAGTGTGCTTATGGTATTGCTGGGAACAGGAATTACTCAGGAACTGTTCATCATACAATAATCTGCTAGTGCAATTAAAAATAACAGTACTTAATTACACAACACCATCTACCCCAGTTCTTTTTTGACCTTTCCATCTGCAAACTGAAGCTGACTCACTCAAAGGAAATATTTTTACAAAAACATAAAAGAAACATGTTGGCTTTATTGGGAAATTCATTAAATAAAGCATAGGAGAAAATGGAGTAAAAAACATCAAAACCCATAAGGAGACCAGGAAATGTGCACGTCTTGTCACATGTGTGTTTATGAGGGTCAAGTACAAACCCCAGTTCAGCCATCAGGATATATCTGGTGCTTCTCTGTGCAGAACCATGAACATCATTTTTAAGTCCTTAACCCACTTAGAGTAAAAATACTTTCCTATTTCAATAATTTTCTACAGGACGTGATCAACCTGTATTGACCCCAGTTCATTAAGTACCTACCACACCAACCAACTATAAATGCCTATAGATTTAAATTATATATTTTTATTCAGGAAACTTTTGTTATTCTGATATTACTCATTTCCTCCACAATTACTGAGAACTCCATCTACTATAAAGTACTTGTATATACATTAAAATACTTGTAAGCATAATTATGTACAGGGTAGGGCAAAAGTAGATTTTCAGTTTTTGTATGGAAAATAATACAATAATTACTAAATAATACAGGAATAAACTGTGTTTCATGTACTCACAACTGTAAGCCTACTTTTGCCTTATCCTGCCTGTGTTAACTGTTGACTTGCTTGTAATAGCTGCAAAATATAATTAAAACTGATTAGACTTAAACATATTAATATTGTAAACTTAGTACACCCTTCCGCTAAGAAAGTAGTTTTTAAAAAAGTTATTAAACTATCCCATTATTAAAAAGGAAATATAACTTCCTGTTGCTAAAAGCCCCCCAAGCCCCTAATGTACTTAAAGAGAGGAATATTTATTTTATGCAACCCCCAAAAGAACCCAAACCTAGGGTACAAATAATAGCAAACCACTGCCCTCCCTGACCTCCTCTCTGCCACCCTATTCTAGCCCCTGACCAGGGCCTTCACCTATCATGCTTCAGTTTCCTTGCTCATTATGCCAGCACACTTTTAAAAAGCCCATCCATGACAAAGATATATTATGGGTCTCAGAAGGTCTTAGCTACAGTTTCCTAAAAAGCAATTTTAAAGGTATTTAAAACAGGAGTCTTGAAGACTGGAAAATGTTTTTTGTGAAGATCATCATGAGATCATCACGACAGCAAGATCTTCATGCCATGAAGACATGAAACTCTTCTACTGGAAACGTGAAGCCTGTCAAAGAATTTTTAACATCTCAGGAGGAAAAAAGAACATACTTGCATGGCAGAATTCTGATAACATCCTTCACTTTAAAATTTTCAATATATATTGCACAATTCTCAGCATCAACATTGATTCCCTGTAAAAAGAAGGGGAGAGAATATTAACCTGGGTAGACAGAATATCCTTGGTAAAACTTACTGTACACCTGGGAAAACAGTGATGAATTCTAGTCTACAAGGGTACAACCTGAAACTAAATGCACAATTTCTACTTGGTATTTACTTTTTACCACTATCAAGAGACTATTTAAAGAACTTGTGTGAAAAAAAAATTTCAATGCCTAATCAGATATGAACAGTAGTTATATACTATGATTGTGTTCATGGTTTTATGTGTTCATGCTTTAAAGGCTTTAGAAATGCAAATGTCTGCTTTACTCTGTAAAATTAATTATTTTTCAAAGACAAAATTTCTAAAGAGAATGAATATCCAATAAGCTGCTTGTTTACTGAAATCATTAATAAGAAAAACGAGCATATTCACGAAAATTTGCTGAAGTACAGTTACAACTTGCAAAGGAAGAAATGCAAATGGCTAAATATCTGAAAATATTCACCTCACTGGTGATTAAAAAATTACAAATTGAAATGTTACCATTTTTTAATCTATCAAGCTAACAAAGGTAGAAAGAAACAAAAATTGCAGAGGAGGAAGCAGTCTTATGGCAAGATTTCCACTTCTAAGAACGCATGGGTCAAGCCCTGTCCCCCGCCCCCCCCCTCAACTCCCCAGCCAATTTTCCTGGGTAGCAAAGCTCTACCCACCTGGCCTCATCCCATCAACGAAAGCAGGTGAGGCCAGAGTGATCATCTAACCCAGAAGGCTAATGAGATGGGGGATTCTCATTCTGGGATGGGGATTCAGGAACCACTAATCAGTGTCTGCAGGTGGCTGCAACTCTAATGAGTTAATTTTATGGAACTTTGGCTATACCATAATTATCTTAAAATATATTTAGTCATATGTATCACCTGTTAACAAGCAAACAATAAAAACTGACTTTTTATGTAGCTATGATTATCAAAGACTGTATTAAAATGAACCTTATAACAACACTTAAAATTGTATGTTACAACTAAATATTATCACTTACTATTTATTGTGTGCCATGCAAGAGTGATGAAATTATTTTAAAGTCCCTAATGACTGACAAGCTTATACATTACTGTGAATGTGTCTACAAGAGAAAAATTAGAAAACAAACACTAATCTCCAGATTTAAGAAAACAGTATTTTTCCATATACATTTAAAACATAAAATCGTCAGAAAATCCACGTATATTATCTTGTGGACCATATGGATCCTCTTTTCTAAACCACCATTTTGACAACTTTCAAAAAACAGTACATGGAAGCATATTTTTAAAAATGTTCTATATAGAAAGACGATAATATCAATTTACTTATGTTCTCAAAGACCTGACTCAGTAAATTATTACATATAAATTCTATGTCTTCTCATTTAAGGACTGAGAATTCCTACTATGAAAAGATCTATTCCAACAGAAACATAAACCTACACGCTTGTCAAGTCACTGGCTATACCAAATACATGTAGTTTGTAATAGGCATTCATCACTGGAGACTTTGTCCCCAGGGACCCTTGTTTTGTAAATTGGATACTAATCTAAACAGTTAAGATGGGAAACTTTTTTTTAGCTTTTTCTGTTCAGTTCACTTGCATGGCAAGAAACCTTGTACAAACTATTAAAACTCAACTGTTATTACAATGTGAAGGCTTTAGGGAAGGAATGATAGCCAACAATACAATGCCAGGAATATCTTAATATTAATATTAAGTTATTAATATTAAAATTAAAGATATCACATAAACCATTAATATCAGATTCCAAAGTTTTTAAATCAAAGACCTGTATGTTATTTCTGTTTTGATTCTTTAAGTAGGTCAGAGGAAGAGGTAAGTACCCTAAGTGCAGTTTTTCTTTTTTTTGAAGGAGAGACTAGATTAAGGAGAATAGATTAAGTTTCAACAACTTGGTGAGATAAAATCTAAATCAAAACAACTGAACCAACTCACAGCTACATCAACACAGTTAACATTAACGGCATAAAAAGAAAAACACCACTGCATTTTAGCACCTGTTTTCCTTTTAAGGAATCCACCCTCTCAAATATGAGATTCCAGACTCAGGATCTGTCCTAGTCTACAAATGCTTCAGCTCTGGTATAATTCTGGCCTGTTAAGTCTCAGGTTGACCATGTCAAAGTGTTTGCTTGTTTTGGTAAAAAACTACATTTGAAAACATTTCTTCTCCCTTTCTCCACACATTTTCTCCCTGTAATTAAAGGAATCAGAGAGAAGGAACATAGAGTCTCAGATTCAAAACAGATAAATTTAAATTTTCAAGGGTCTGTGGTAGAGACTTTAGCATATATATTTAAGAGTTTATTTATTTGCTTTTAGAGAGAGGGGAAGGAAGGGGGAAAGAGAGGGAGAGAACATTGCCTGGTTGCTACTTACATGTGCCCTGATCCTTGACTGAACCCCCTACCCAGGCATGTGCCCTGACCAAGAATCAGTCAGGTGCCTTTCGCTTTGTGGGACAAAGCCGAACTAGCTAAGCCACACAGGTGAGGGCTCTCCTTTATCTTCTTTAGAGTGATCTAAGTGTGACCAACAGGCAGAAGTTTTTTCAATGACAGACTTACTGGCACTGTCCAGGATGGTAGCAACTAGCCAATGTGAGTAATTTGAGCACTTGAATGTAGGTAGTGTGATGGAGGAACTAAATTTTGAGTTTAATTTAATTCATTTAAACTCTAGTAGCCATATATGGCTACTGGCTACCCTTAGTCTGTCTCAACACATACGCAACAAAATTATTTCTGACAACCCTGCTTTAAAATGAACACACATAAAATAAGTCAGTGCTAATTCAAACTAGTTAGAACTCCACGTCTAATACTGTGAATTTGGCAGATTGGAAAGCATTACTTAGATACAAAGACACACATAATCTAAACCAAAAACAAAGCAGAAGAATACAAAAATATTACCTTTTCTCCATGTTTTATAGTAAGAAGTGGAAGCTATCCCATAACTTTCTTGGTTTCTTTTCTATGGCTCTTAGGTAGGAAAAAATTATTATTATTGCAAATTTTATGTAAAATCACTTTTTAAAAACATAACATATAAGGTAATTTATAGAAAAAATTCACTTAAAAAGTGAAGTTAACTGATTATAATGAAAATAACTTTAAATATTACCACTTGTCTTAATATATAGAATAAGCACATATAACTTAAGAGCTGTTTGATCAATAATACTTATTTTCACTTAGCATAATACCCTCTAGATCCATCCATGCTGTCGCAAATGAGTCAGAGAAAAACAAATACCATATGATTTCACTTATATGTGGAATCTAAAGAAAAATATAAACGAATAGATAAAACAGAAACAGACTCATAGATACAGACAGACTGATGGTTGCCACAAGGGAGGGGACTCAGAGGACTTAGGTGAGAGCAGTGAAGGGACTGAGAAGTACAAATTGGTGTTAACAAAAAAAGCATGGGGATGTAACGTATAGCATTGGAAATATAGTCAATAATATTGTAATAACTATGTATGGTGCCAAGTGGGTACTAGAAATATTGGGGGGAACTCTACAAAGTATATGATTGTCTAACCACTACAAAATAATGCTGAATGTAAACAGTAATTGAGGGGGGTGGGGGGAATAATACTTATTTTCAATGCTATACCTGAACAAGAACCCAATTCCAATTCTTATGTTCAAACATTGGAAAGAAAGTAGCAAGATGAGGATAGGGCTACCGTCTAGTAACTTCCCTAAAAGAAAAGAGGTTTCCTAGTCATCAAGTAGAAGACTACTCAAAAATGACTACCTAATGCCTACGAAGTCAGGAAACATTACTTTTCAAGACAACAGAGATAAGTGTGAAATTCAGTAAGTCTGTTCTGGAAGCCTCTGGCTCTTCAACTGCCCCCCTCTTTGCTGTTACTGAGACTGTTGCTGCAGATAAATAAATGGCCTGAAAGTTGTCCCACAGTGGAAACAGGGAAGCCCCTCCCAGTCCGCTCTTCACCTTAAGGCCCAGAGTTCTCTTTTTAAGCACAAAACCTCATCCCATCTACGTCATGCCCTTTTGTCATTTCCTCACGTCAGGAAAAGGACAAAGACGGTATTTTCAGGAGCACAACATGCAAAAAGTGACCTGGATTTCAAGATATCTAATTTTCCACTGAAGAGAAAATTTAATACATTCTAATTTTAAGTTATTTTCAGAAAAATAATACTAATACTTAAATTATGAGAGTAAAAGTGAAATTAAGAATAGGGTCCAACACAACTTCAAGAAATACATATGGCAAATATTTACAAACTATCTTTGAAAAAGCAAACTTAGAGTTACTCATAATTATCTGACTTATAAACTGTGAGCCAATATATAGGAAATGCTGTATGTAGTAAAATATCAGCCACACTAAAGATAATCATCATGGCGATGAAGGCAATGGCCACACAATACAGAAGACTGACAACTGATGAATTCCTGTACATGGGGGGTGCCCACCCCTATGGTCATGTAGACTTGAATTTTTTTAATATATATATTTTATTTTAATATTTTTATATATTTGATTATGCTATTCCAGTTGTCCCATTTTTTCTCCCCTTTATTTCCCTCCACCATGCACCCCCCTCCCACCAGCATTACCCCCACCTCCTTAGTTCATGTCCATGGGTTGTACATGTAAGTTCTTTGGCTTCTCCATTCTCTATGCTATTCTTAACCTTCCCCTGTCTATTTTGTACATACTATTTATGCTTCTTATTCCCTGTACCTTTTCCCACTTTCTCCCCTCTCCCCTCTGATCTCCATTTCTGTGATTCTGTTCCTGTTCTAGTTGTTTGCTAAGGTTTTTTTTTTAAGGTTCAGTTGTTGATAGTTGTGCGTTTGCTGTCATTTTACGGTTCATAGTTTTGATTTTCTTTTTCTTAGGTAAATCCCTTTAACATTTCATATAATAAGGGCTTGGTGATAATGAACTCCTTTAACTTGACTTTATCTGCCCTTCCATTCTAAATGATAGCTTTGCTGGACAGAGTAATCTTGGATTTAGGTCCTAGCCTTTCATGACTTGGAATACTTCTTTTCAGCCCTCTTGCCTGCAAGGTTCCTTTTGAGAAATCAGCTGATAGTTTTATGGGAATTCCTTTTGTAGGTAACTGTCTGTTTTCTCTAACTGCATTTAAGATTCTCTCCTTATCTTTAATCTTGGGTAATGTAATTATGATTTGCCTTGGTATATGCTTCCTTGAGTCCAACTTCTTTGGAACTCTTTGAGCTTCCTGGGTCTCCAGGAAGTCTATATCCTTCACCAGATTGGGGAAGTTCTCCATTATTTTTTTTAAATTAAGTTTTCAATTTCTTGCTCTTCCTCTTCTCTTTCTAGTACCCCTATGATTTGGATGTTGGAATGTGCAAAGTTGTCCAAGAGGTTCCTAAACTTCTCATTGTTAAAAATTTTCGTTTATTCACTCTGTTCTGGTTGAATGTTTATCTCCTCCTTCTGTTCCCAATCATTGATTTGAGTCCCGGTTTCCTTCGCTTTACTGTTGGCTCCCTGTATATTTTCCTTTATTTCTCTTTACATAGCCTTCACTTTTTCCTCCATTTTGTGACCATACTCAACCATTTCTGTGAGCATCCTGATTACCAGTGTTTTGAACTGTGTATCTGATATGCTGCTTATCTCTTCACTTAGTTCTATTTTTGGAGCTTTGATCTGTTCTTTCATTTGGGCCATATTTGTTCATCTCAGCGTGCCTGTTACACTGGAAGGAGTGGAGCCTTAGGTATTCGCCAGAGTGGGGCAACCCAGGTCACTGCATTGTGGCACTGAATGTGGGGGAGGGGTCAGAGCGGGAACAATGCTGCTTGTTCAGCTCTTGGCAGGCTTTCACTCACTTCCCCCACTACCCACAAGCAAATTGGGCCCTTCTGGTGCTGATTCCTGGCTGAGTGGGTTTGTGTATGTTCTAGGACCCTGTGGGTCTCTTCAATGAACTTTCCTGTGAGGCTGGGAGTTTCTCCTGCAGGTGCATCCGCCACAGTTTTTTACAGCCAGAGGTTTTGAAGCTTCCTTTTCCTGCACTAGAACCCTGGATTGCACAGTCGGTCTCACTTCCCAGCTGTTCCTCCCAGTTTATCCACGTGCAAATATGGGAGCACTTGGTCTGCCAGACACTGCCTAGCCATGCCTCCCCGCCCCAGCTGCCCATCTCCGCCCCTCCTACCAGTCTGGATGAATGTTTCTTCTTTAACTCCTTGGTTGTCAGACTGCCATGTAGTGATTTTTGGGCAATTGTGGTTATTTTTTGTTTTAAAATTTGTTGTCCTTCTTTTGGTTCTGCGAGGAGGCAAAGTGTATCTACTTACGTATCCATCTTGGCTGGAAGTCCTTGACTTGAATTTCTTTTTGCACTAGATCCAAAATCTCTTTTCCTTTTGGGTAGCTAACCATAATGACCACTATATTTCCTGTTCCTGTGAGAAAGAACAAAGAAATCAATATAAGGAACACAAGGTAAGATACAGAGTAAGAGTACCATAGATCATCCATGCATATACATCCAAAAACTTTGATAAAATGAGTATTTTTAAGAAAAGCATAAGTTACCAAAACTAGCCCTAAAAGAAAAAACAGACTGATTACATGAGAAGTAGAATAAGTCTCTAAGAACTACCTCCTCAAAAGCAAGAGCCCCACTCAGTTTCACAGGTGAGTTCTACCACCAAACCTTTTAAGGATGAACACCACCAATAATATTTAAATTGTTCCACAGCAGATTTTAAAAAAATGATTTCTAAGATCATAAAACCTAACATGGTAATAAAAAAAGCAAAATAACCATAAGGCCCAATTTCCCTTATGACTATAATGCCTAAAGCATGCACACTGTACCTAGGGAGGCAAGCTGAGCTCTTGTGATCACTAGTATTTAACACTCCTCTGGTAAGACAAAACATAAGTGAAGGAGTGAAATAATCAATTTCATGAGTATCTCTGGAAGTTAATGCAATAACTGTAAAAAGTCAATAGGATTTTAAAAATCTTAAAAATGCTGCTCCTGAGGTCCACTTCGGGGAAAAATAATCAAGGATAATCAGGAAAACCTTTCGAACAGTAAAACCCGGACTAGCCTTTTTTTAAAAGTAATTAAAACAGTGTGTAGTAACATATGAAGATGGTAAGAATAAAGCGGCAAGATTAAAAATCTAGGCTTTAGACCCAAATACATAAAATAATTTAAGAAATAATAAAAGTGGAATTTCAAATCAATGGGGTAAATGAATTATTTTTAAAGAATAGTGAGGGGAGGCAACTGGGTATCACCTGAGGGAAAAAACTGGCTATTGTCCCTTCTTTACAACTTATGACAAAATAAAGTCTCAAGATTTAGAATCAAATACTTAAATATTTAAAATGTAAATACAGCCCAGTCAACGCAGGGAGGCCAGCACGGCTGTCAGCTGAGTGCAACTGGGTGGGGTCGTGAGGCTGGGAGTCACCGGAGGCTCTCAGAGTACACGCCACCCTGGCACTGGTGGCCTTGGGCGGCGTCTTTATCCGGATCCAGAGCCCTGCCCCAGTGGCCACGATGCCACAGAAGCTGTGACCGGGAGTAAGGCGGTAGTGCAGGGGCTGGGGATTGGGAAGATGGCAGAGGAGTGAATGGGAGTCACGCTGACCTCCTCCCAAGACCAAACTGGAACTGCGACTAAATAGTGGAGAAATCACCTGGAAAACAATGGAACGACAGTGGGACAGGAGACCTGGAGCTGCGGATGGACAGTGGATTCAACTCTCACACATCCCAATGGGTGAGAACTGTGGAGGCTCGAGAGGGTGGGCTGGGTGCCCATGGGGCACCAGCACCAGAGGGACATTGAAATGGCCAGATAGCTCCCCCTGAGAAGAACGGGGTCTGAATCATAAACAGGGACCCATAGACTACAGCAGCTGAAATTAGGAAAATCCACAGACAAAACGCAACCCCACAAAGCTTAGGGGGGCTCTCTGCCAGAGACAGGTGGCAGGGAATGCAAAGAGACATTTAAAGGGCCAACAGAAAAATTGCAGTGGCAGCCACCCTCATTGATCTCTGGGTAGAGGTGGCAGCAGAGTGGGCTGGTGCCTGGGAAAAGATTGGTGAGGAAAACTTTGTGAAGAGAACTGAGACAGCGGCCAGTGGAGCCCGGTGATAACGCACCTCCCACTCTGCAGCTACCATCTCGCTCAGGCATAAGGGAATCAATTAATCTGCCTTTTGTGCACTCCGCACACAGCTTGTGCGCATGTGAGCTGGGGGCTAAGTGCAGACAAGCTGGAAGAAATAGAGGATCCCTGGCCAAAGGGGTCACACAGCTGCATTGAGAGCCTTGAGGAGAGACTTGAAATGGAGGCGTTGGGGAAAGAACGGGAGGAGGAACCGGGGAGTCCCGACTCCCTCCCCATTCCGTAGTCTTCATCTTGGGCAGGCAGGGAGTGCCCCCAAAGAGGAAAAAGCAGAGCGCGCAGGAACCAACCTGCCCGTGATTGCAACGCGGTCCATACAAATAGTGGATCCTTGGCCGAAGGGGTCACAGAACTGCCCCGAGACCCCTGAGGAGATTGGAGACGGCGGTGTTGGGGAAAGAACGGGAGGAGGAATCGGGGAGTCCCGACTCCTTCTCCTTTCTGTAGTCTCCATTCTGCGGGAACAGGCCACACTCCCAAAGAGCCAAAAGCTAAAAGCACACAATAGACAGCCCAAAACCACCCAGTGCAGGTGTGCACACTTGCACCTAGTGGCCTGCGAGGGTTGGTGAGCACGTGTGTGGACCTGCATGAGCTGGCGAGGGCTCGCGCAGGTTGGCTCCGACGGGGCCTGCAAGGGAGTGCGCAGATTGGCGAGGGCAGGCATAAACTGACCTGCGTGGGCCCAAGAGTGCAAAGCGATACGCAGAAATAGTGGATCCCGGGCCGAAGGGGTCACAGAGCTGCCCAAAGCAGGAGTCAGACACAGACAAGAGATTCCTGGAAAGCTAAACCAAACGACCCAAGGACATATAGGGTCAACAACTGACATCATCAGAGGCAGGCCCAGAAAGAAAACTAAAGAATAAACACATGAATAAATAAATAAATAGACCTGACTACTACCATAAAAAATTAACAAAGTTAGGAAATCTAGATGGCCCAAATGAAGCAGAAGCATCAATCAATCAATCAATCAATTAATTATTGAAAAGACTCTCACAAAAATGGGAAGAAAAAGAAGTTCCCCCCAAATGAGTGGAAAAGGGGACTCCCCACAGAGAGAGCTAAATGAAATAGAGGCAAGGGAACTATCAGATACTGAATTCAAAACAATGGTTCTAAGGAAGCTCAATGAGCTCAGCCAGCTCAAAGATAACTATGAGAAACTGCAAAGAAACTATCAAGATCTTACAACAAACTATATTTACCTGGAAAAGGACAAAGAAACTATCAAGACACAAGAGGATATGAAGAATACCATTTCTGAATTGAAGAACACAGTAGAAGGAATCCAAAGCAGGCTGGATGATGCCGAGGATCGAATCAGTGAGATGGAGGATAAGGCAGAAAAAGCTCCCAGAAAGAACAAGAAATGGAAAAAAGACTCAAAAAGAATGAAGAGGCATTTGGGGAAATGCAGGACAACCTGAAATGCAGTAATATCCGCATACTAGGAATACCAGAAGGAGAAGAAGAGGAGCAAGGGATAGAGAACCTCCTCGAAAAAGTAATGATGGAAAATTTCCCCAATTTGAGGAGAGAAAAGGTCTCATGCATCCAGGAGGCAAAGAGGGCCCCACTCAAGAGGGACCCAAGGAGGTCCAATGCAAGACACATCATCATTAAAATGGCAACTATCAAAGACAAAGAGAGAATCATCAAGGCAGAAAGGGAGAAGGAGAAAGTAACATACAAAGGGCCCCGATGGGGCTGGGAGCTGACTTCTCAACAGAAACACTACAAGCCAGAAGGGAATGGCAACAAATACTCCAAGTAATGAAAAGCAGGGGCCTACAAGCAAGGCTACTCTACCCGGCAAGGCTCTCAATTAAAATAGAAGGGGAAATAAGGAGCTTTCCAAACAAAAGAAGGCTAAAAGAATACGTCTCCATCAAACCAGCACTACAAGATATGCTAAAGGGACTGGTTTAAGAAGATGAAGGAAAAGAGTGAGAAAAACATAGGTATAAAGGGAAAAAAAGAATAGGTTTCTATCAGTAATAACTCTCAATGTAAATGGTCTAAATGCCCCAATCAAAAGACACAGGGTAGCTGAATGGATAAGAAAACATGACCCACACATATGCTGCCTACAAGAGACCCACCTCAGAGCCAAAGACCTACACAGATTGAAAGTAAAGGGATGGAAAAAAATACTCCAAAGAAATGGGAAAGAGAAAAAAGGAGGGGTTGCAATACTTATATCAAAGTAGATTTTAAAACAAAGGCCATAAAAAGAGACCCAGAGGGACACTTTATAATACTGAAAGGAAGAATCTATCATGAAGACATCAACATTGTAAACTTACATGCGCCCAATATAGGGGCCCCCAAGTATATAAGGAAATGCTGGACAACTTCCAAAAAGATGTAGACAGCAACACACTGATAGTGGGGGATTTCAACACCCCACTGTCAAAAATGGACAGATCTTCCAAACAAAACATTAATAAACATATTGTGGCGCTGAATGACACATCGAATCAGAGACTTAACTGACATAGATAGAACCTTACATCCCAAAGAAGAAAAATACACATTCTTTTCAAATGCTCATGGAAGTTTTTCAAAGATAGACTACATGATAGGACACAAAGCAAGCCTCAGCAAATTCAGGAAAACTGAAATAATACCAAACTTTTTCTCGGACCACAAGGGCTTGAAACTGGAAATCAACCTCAAAGAGAAACTTCAAAAACTTGCAAACTCATGGAGACCGAACAGTAGACTATTAAACAATGAATGGGTCAATAATGAGATAAGAGAAGAAATCGAAAAGTTTCTGGAAACAAATGAAAATGAACAGACAACAGTCCAAAACCTATGGGACACAGCAAAGGTAGTCCCGAGAGGGAAGTTCATAGCAATACAGGCTTACCTAAAAAAGAAACATTTCAAATAAAAGACCTAACGCTACAACTCCAAGAGCTGGAAAAACAAATATATCTCAGAGCAAGTAGAAGGAAGGAAATAACCAAGATTAGAGCAGAACTGAACACATAGAGACAAAAAGAACAATTCAAAGGATCAACCAATCCAGGAGCTGGTTCTTTGACAAGATCAACAAAATCGCCAAGCCTTTAAGCAGACTCATCAAGAAAAAAAGGACGAGGACCCAAATAAATAAGATCAGAAATGAAAGAGGAGAAATAACAACTGATACCACAGAAATACAAAGGATTGTCAGAAACTACTATGAACAATTATATGCCAAGAAATGGGAAAACCTGGATGAAATGGACAA